GATAACTAAAAAAAGAGAAACAACTTATGAGAAACAATCCATCGAGAGACGATTAGACAGAAAACAGAAAATGAGAAACAATCCATCGAGAGACGATTAAACAGAAAAATAGGCAAATGTATACCCTAAAGAAATTGAGTGAATTCCATGTGAAATTAAATGGTCCAAAGTTTAAAACAGTGTAAAAACAAACTGCACAGACAGCAAAATAGAGAGCCTGTGAATAAGAACATGATGGAAAATATATGGCAACAAAATAGCTCAAAAGATCTAAGACTCTTAGTAACCTAAAATTAAAACCATACTTTTCAGGAAATCTTATCCTAATGAACAGATTGCCAGAAGTAATAATGGTTTCTAAAATCCATTAGAGCAAAACACTTCCGAAATAATAGAACACTCCAAGGGATATTTACGAATCTAAATACTACTTAATTTGGAAAATTAAAATAATAAAACCTTCCAAGACTGAAACTCATCAGGACTGTGTACATAAGAGGAAGCAGATTTTCCTCTGATGTTCAGGATTTATCTCTTCTTCACCTCCTCATGTACCAGGAAAAAACTTCAAAGTCTTAAGGGTGTTTTCACACACTGTATTTTTAGGTACATTTAAAAAGTGCATGTCTAAATATTTAAGAAGTGAATATGATGGAGATGTATTTTATGTGGGGCTGATGGATCAGACAGTAAGAGTCAGAACTGGCTTCAGGCCATTGTACATTATACATTTAGTGGCAATCCTAAATTGTTTTTTTTAAAAAAAAAAAAAAACAACACTATACATATTCAACTCTATGCATCTATCTGTACAATCAACCTGAAAGCAGCAAGGATGGGCTTTTCATTCTGAAAAGAGGAAAAAAATATTTCCCCATTCTAATCCACTTCTATGAGATGCATGTGGCAAGGCAGAATGGTAGTTATGAACAAAGGCTTTCATTTTGTTTTCCCTTTTTCTTTCTTCACAGGAAATAAAGAGAAACTGAGGTTTGAAATTAGTTCCTAGAATCTTGCTAGGTGAAGCCAGCAAACACCCAAGCATTTCTTTTCACCAAATTAACCCTATGGAAATTCATTATGGAATTTATTCACGCTATCTTTAATTCTGAAAGAAGCATATAACCAGGATAACTTGCTTAACCTTGTTCTGTTTATCAAAGTGGTCAACCTTCAAATTTAGTATTTTAACAATGCCATTTACACGGTTCTCTATCATACTACCGTATATGCCGGCGTACAAGGCGACCCGGCATATAAGACGACCCCCGTCTTTGGCGCCAAGTCGCATTCCTAGAACGTCATCTTATACGCCGGAAACTACCAGTATTTCCGGCGTATAAGATGACTCAGCGTATAAGTCGACCCCCGTCTTTGGCGCCGATTTTAACGCTTGCGGAAGTCGCCTTATACGCCGGCATATACATTAAGTATAATTATACAGGTCTAGTTTATAGCATTTATTTCCATGCTATTCTTTAAACAAGTAGAAACCAAGCATGAATGTATGTAAGGGTTACCCACTTATTCTAGCTTTTTTCATGGATAAAAGATGCCAGAACTCTGTTCTGGGCGTTCTATGACAAAAAAAGCCGTGTGTGTGTGTGTGTGTGTGTGTGTGTGTGTGTATGTATACATATATTTGTTTTCTGAGGTTTTCGCGGGTATTTGTATGTAGGTCTTTGGTTATTCGGGTTTTCTCCCGCGTAAAATTGGAAGTGTCTTGGCGACGTTCGACGAAGTCCCATTCGTCATCTTCAGGCTGGTGTTTTTGGAATACTGAGACAAACGCTTTTCGTAGTCAATGAAAGCCATGTACAGAGGCATAGTGTACTCATGCCTGTCAATGACTTGCTGAACAACCTGGATGTGATCCATTGTGCTGTAGCCATTTCTGAACCCTGCCTGCTCCTTTGGCAGTGCATCATTTAATGTTCTCAATATTCTTTTTGCTATTATCTTGGTGAAAAACTTGTAGCTGGCTGAAAGAAGGCTTATTGGGCAATAGTTCTTTAAGTCATCTTGGGCCCCTTTCTTGTGTATAAGAATCACTTCAGCATTTTTCCATGAATCAGGTATTTTTTCTTCTCTGAGGCATCTGGAGTATAATTTTGCTAGTATCTTGTGTAAACTGTGACCACCAGACTTACATAAACTTACTACAATCAATATATGAAAAAACAATGGCGACAATTTATCCTAATGATCTTAAAGTGGAAATCAATGTAGGATGAGGTGTACAACAAGGCAATACAATATCACCTAACTTTTTTTCAGACTGCCTTGAAGAAGTATTTTGCAAATTAGACTGGGCAAAAGATGGAGTAAAAATCAATGGCGCCTATTTAAATCACTTAAGATTTGCAGATGATGTTGTTTTCTTCTTGCAAGACCCAGAAGATCTACAAAGACACATACAAGAGCTGCACAAAGCAGGAGAACCATTTGGCTTAAAAGCAAACCTGTAAAAGAGCCAACTTATGTTTAATAAATTCACTAAAGAAAAATATATATATATCTGATGAAGAACTAGACATAGTAGATCACTACATATCCCTTGGCCAATGAATCTCAGTGAAAGTGATACAATAAAGAAAATTGAATGGCCTGTTAAATGTGGTTGGCAGGCATTCAGCAAGCTAAGCATAATTTTCAAGAACCTCCCTCTATGCCTAAAGAGAAAAGTTTTCGATCAGGGTGTGCTACCTGCTCTAATCTATGCCGGTGAAACATGTACACTAACCTCACAATCAATACAAAAGCTACGAGTGGCGCAAAGAGCCATGGAAAGATACATGCTTGGCATAACAAAACAAGGCAGAAAGACCTGCACAATGGATTAGAGAACAAATGAAAATAAATGATGCCATCAAGAGAGTAAAAGAATTGAAATAGAAATGGGCTGGTCACAGAGCAAGAAGAACTGATGGCAAGTGGACCAAGGCAGTCATAGAATGGATCCCACTTGATAAAAAGTGTCCACAAAAGAGACCTAAAACAAGATGGATCAATGATGTCAGCAAGTTTTGAAGCTCAATTGGCAAAAGAAAGCTCAAAACTGTATTGGTTGGAAACATGCAGAAGAGGCCTTCATCCTGCAGTGGATAGACAATGGCTAAAATGATGATGAGGATAAACATTTTAGTCATTGAAAATAATCAGATTATTTTTTTAAAAAAATTAACTTAGATTTACAGATGACAGTATGTCTTCAGCAGAGTTTCTATTCTGTGTATCTTCAGGATTGAGATGACACACTGTGTTAAGAGTATGAGCATTAAAATAATTCCTATATTAAAGAATTTAAATGAGCTTTATGAACTGGTTTCAAGCAGTAGCATCACTCTGGTATATTTGATTCCTCCAGCATAGGAGATATCAATAACTGAATTCCTAATATTAGAATATTAGAGGTTATTTCTTATTTATATTTGAATACCACTGAGTTTATTTTATTTACTTATTTACTTCAATTTTGAGGCCACCAGCTCATATTCAAGTAACATTCTATTTTACTCAGCTTCATAATGTCCAAATATTACATATCTTCATAAATCATATCTTTATCCTGTAAAAAGTTGCTAAATGAACAGATGAGAAATAACCAGGAATGAAGTAAGACACTTGGAAGTTCTTCTTTCTCTCCGGATGTAACAGCAAGAAACCACAATGATGCTCAAATTAAATTCTTCTAAATTCCTGTTTCTTCTTTTTGGCCACTTGCCTCTACTGAGTCATGATAGAAATTGACACAAAGTACTACAAACGATTGATTAAAAAGAGATAGATAGGTGTTTTTGCTGGCTCATAATCTCCTGAAGAAAAACACTGTGGATAGCAGGTCCAAGTGAGGAACATGTAACACTTCAAAAGCAGATGGACTACAATTCCCAGCAACCTGCCACCATGGTCACTGGTGAAGAATGACAGTAGCTGAAGACATCTCAAAGCCTTCCCCTGCTCTAGTGAATGAGGTTTCCTGCAACACCAAGAGGAAAAAAGTGATGTTGAGTTCAGTACTTCCTACACTTCCTCTTCCTGCCCCCATGTACCTCTCTGAATGCTGCAGTTCAGTTGACGGAACAGCTGCTCCATCAGTCTGTCCACTTCTGTTTAGAAGGGATATGGAGGTACTTTCTCACTGCTCCTTAGAACAACTGCTCCATTCGGATGCCCTCTAGATCACGGGTGTCAAACTCACCATGTCACGTGACGTGTCACGACGTATCGCGACTCTTTTTGCATTGCCGACAATGTGATGGGTGCGGCTTCGGTATGATGAAACCGGCCTTCAGGCCAGCAGTTTGACACCCCTGCTCTAGATCCATGGGGATACCAGAATTCATAGCCAGCCTAGAAATAAAATAAAATAAAATAATAATAAAATAAATAAAATAAAATAAAATTGAATATTTTATTGGCCAAGTGTGATTAGACATACAAGGAAGTTGTCTCCAGTATGGAAGCAGTGTATTTGAAAGCCGACAGAGAAAAAAATAATAATAATAACAACAACAATAAAAGGGGGAAGTAAAGAAGATAATAAAAGGAATAAATAATAATACTACAGCCATACTCTATGGGTTGATATACATACACATTAGACAGAATTGCAAGAATTAGGTGTTCAGCAGAATGATGGCACGAAGGAAAAAATGTCCCTACGTCTAGCTGCAAAATAAAATAATACAATAAAATAAAATAAAAACTAATTTTAAGCACCCCAGTCCCCTGAAGAATACCAGGGCTGGCTTAGCAGAAAATAACAGAGGACTGGCAGAGTTGACTCTGGCAGCCATGCGTTCTCCTTCTGAGGCAAGGCTGCCCAGAAAAATCCTGGCCACTTGAAGGCCATCCCAACTTTCTCAGGGACCCTCTGTCTGCCCTCCGTGCCTGACTGGCAGCTGGTCAGCCAGAAGCTCCGAGTGTCCTCCCACCTCCCCTTTGTGGGCTGGAGCTGCGGCCTTGAACGGCCTTCCGGACGCCACCCTGGTACCTGCCCAGGCTGTTGCAGAACAGTCGACTGCTGGGCGACTTCGCCGATCCCCAGCTGCTCCTTGAGGAGGTGGGGGTAGCTGAGGCAGTGCTTCAGCGCCGGCGGGATGTTGCCCATGGCGCCCGTCTCCCCTCAAGAGCCAGCAAACCGCCCCCCCCCCACCTCCCGACAGCAAGGTCACCGCCACCCGCGCCTTGTGCGCCCAGCCATCTGCAAAGCCGCTCGCCGGAACCCAATGCCTGGCTGAGCGTGGGCGCAGCATCCGCCTCGCCCGGCCGAGGGAATCCCGGGCGATTCTGATTGGCTGAGAGGGATGCCGGGAGTTCGCGAGGCCAGCATCCTTAGGTCGCCGGAGGAGATCAGATCAGCGCGTTGCTCTGCCGCTCCGGCGCTGAAGCCCTTTCGGGGACGGGGTCCCGGAGCGGTGGCCTCTTCCAGATTAGTATTTCGATCCTCTGCCCAGCTCGAAGAGCTGCTTCTGCTCCAGAAAGCTGGCGGATTGAAACTGGATTAGTCGACGGGCTCTCTGTCCAGCAGGTGGCGGTCTTCAGGCTCTGCTGTTGCGCCATTAAAAATCATGGCAAAAGATCCCAAAGAGGACAGTCAGACGGGAAGAATTTCAGAAAAGTTCATTAAGACATAACGTGATTAGTTGGGCATAATCGCCCGTAGAGCATGGCAAGAGTTCCCATGCATCTGAGTTGAAGGCAAACACTCAGGGATCCAAGACATTTCCAGGCTTTGAGGCCTTGAGATATGATAGATGTACAAAGGACCACCCTTGGAAAAAAATACAGAGCATCAAAAAGACAAATGAAGAACCAATTTAAATAGTTGTAATATAAATACAATTACAAGTCTGTAAATGTGCCAGTCCAAATGGCACTCTTGGACGAAGCTCCTTCCTTTCATTGATTTTTTAGGTTGGAAATTGCTGGGCCAGGTCTATGCACTACTCCGGTGCACAGTTTCAGATGGGTCTTTTCCCAGAAGTGTATCAATGCATTTGGGATCTTCTGTGTGCAAAGGAACCAGTGGCCCTGTTCCTTGATTGAGAGGGCAGCTGAATGAGGAACGGGATGCTTGTTTATAATCATAAGCAAGATGATCAAAACTGATGGATTTTTAGTCATTTAGAGAAAACATTGGGTCTTATCAACAGGATAAGAGCTATCATCATCACATCAACTTTAATTGGAGAAAAAATGTAAATAATTTATCATATGCTGTGTCTAGTTGCTCTATGTTTATGGGAACTAGAAGACAGTGCTTCAGTGTATGAATCAGCAAATCATATCAGTAAATTGGTGTCTTTTGTATTGGTGACCTAAGGCTGAAGCCGCCAAATTCTGACTCTGCCAGAGAGACACCAGGTTTTCAAATCTGACTTTGTTTCAAAAGATCACAAGTGACCCTTCCAGATGTTAACATTAATTCTTGCACTCACTTTAAAACTTTTTAAAGCATCTGCCAGATGGTTCCCTTATATTGGAAAATTGCTTTCTGCAAGACTTGCTTCCATCTGCCATAAGGATCTCTACACATTAATCAAGAATCTTTATCCTTCCATTTTAGTTTTCTATCCAAAAGAAGGTTCTGTTTCCTTCCTTGTCTTTGCATGGGATTTTGGCAACTTTGGCAATTAATAAAAACTTATTCATGTGGACATCAAGGTTTTTCCTACCGAGAACGTGAGAGAGATGGAATTTATTGGTACAAGTAAGCAATTTTCCATTCAACTTCTTAAAAGCCACTTCATTGCTTTATTGTTCATAAGAAGTTCATGGTATAATCTAGAAGGACTGGAGAATTTTCTGTTCAAGAGTTTACAAGAGAAGAAAATGGATCTGCATTCCCTGGCATCTCCAGATAGGACCGAGATTCTTTTATGAATCCTAAGCCAGCAATAACTAACCTAGTGGTGAATAATGTCCATCTAGGTTCTTAATAAAGGACCTCAAACAAAACCTTTTCCATGTCAAAGCTTTATTCTGTCCACTCTGCTTATACAATGTATGGAAATCTATTTAAGCAGAAGAAAAATCTGTTAGAAGATAAGAGAAACTTTTATTTCTTTCCAGTATCACTTGGTGTGGATGACATTTGGACAGAAGGAGAGTTGGACCTTGGAATGGATTCTGTTTCCAACCCTTGCTGACAATAGTCCTGGTCTGGATAGGCCAGTGATCTTATCAGTGATCTTATATTTCTTTGTTTCTGAAATTCAGGGAGAATTGCTAAACTGATTAGTTGAAGTCAGTTTGCAACAAATCATCCCTAAATCACAATATATTTTATTAAACCTAGTGAAAGAAAGAACTCAAAGGTATAGAATCCTTGAAACACTTGTGGAATAGTACAGATGTATTTGTAAATTTAAAAATACTGAATTTATAAATGGAGTACTTTTACATAGAACTCATACCGAAATGAATACTCCATTATATTGCAGGCCAGCCATTGTCCAGGAAATGGAAACTGGGGGGCTGTTGAGACAGCATCTTCATGAGCAAATTAGTGTAACTTGTTAAAATAAGTTGTGTGGTTAATCTGAGACTAACAGGGTGAGAGATAATTGAAAACACATTTCCTAAGGAATGATATCTGAAAACAGTGGTTCCACTTTTGAAAACAAACTGCAAATTATATTCCCATACAGTTAACAAAGCAAATAATTCCTTTGATTCTTAACACATGGAGTTATGACAAATACATAAAATATGTGTATGTGGTTTTTAAAAAGAAAATACTGTCCAAATTACAGTATGTGTGTATACTTAATTTAATTTGTTATGCACAGTGGATGTTTCACCTGAAAATGGTTAGAGGGAGGAAGGTCTGTATGATTATTGCAATGTAGGAATGAGCGACTAGCCATCTATTATATATGGATATATCCAGAGATATATTGTATAGAATTTAAAATAAATAGAATGGCTGTGAATGTCCATAGTTAATGAAATAAACTATACACTGGCCAGCTGAGATTAGAAAGGGAAATATGCTATGGAAAATCATTTCATTTTGCCTAAAGGCAATATTGGTTGATTTACATATGTGTGTTGAATACCACAGAGATATAGAACAAATTAAAATTAAAAATTAACATTTAAAGATTATTTTAAAATGTTAAAGAATATTTATCAATTCAATTCATTTTTAGAATTCTTGTTTAAGGCCTCAAACATCTTTCTGTGTTCCATGAGACATAATGAAGGAAATTGTTTTTACTGGCAGGAGTTTAATTAGCTTGTTTAGGTTATTGGAGTTGAAGATAAACAGTTAGTTGTTTTATTTACTGACAAATAGTACATTCCTATGTATGTCAGGAGAAGGAAGTTTGAGTAAGTTCATTTAACACCAGGCAAGTGTATACAAATGATTGCAGTCTAAAACAAACACACATACTGGAGTCCTACTAAAATTAGAAGGATTTAAATGTCAGTATATTTACACATGATTGTACTGTAAACTCATATACCTTATTATCATCTTATTATTATACAGTTTAGGATTTGATACTAGATGTCATAGCTATGTTAACTAACTTTTCCTACAGTGCTTTGTTCCATAAGCTTTAGACAGCACTTCTTCTTCTAATAGTTTATTAGTCAGATGAAAATGCAAAAGAGATCCCTTCAAAGTGCATCCTCTAAGTTCAAAGGGGCAGTTGCAGTACCTCACTGATCATAAGTTATACCTGCACATGTACAGAAGCCACTTCTTTGCAGCGGTCAAAGTGCAGATGGGCTTCATGGCTACAGTTCATGGAGGTAGAATGCAATACTTTCATGCAATACTTTGCTGCATTGAAGAGCTTAATCAAGCAGATTGAACAATGAGGGGTCCTTGGTGCTCTCTGAGCATGGCTGTATTCTTGCAGACCTTTCATTACCAAACTAAATAATATCATCAGTGCACATTACACAGATTGAACAACATTTGCATAGTCTTAGTATCTTCCATTTAGCATTCTGGTTTCCAACTTTGTTTCCCAAGCAAAGCTACTAATAATTCTTATTTGAGCATGATCCCATTATCTACAACTTTTCCTTAAGTGTTCATTCACATCTCCTATACTATATGATCATGTATAGTATACTCATTATCTCCTACATTGGATTCAAGCTTACTTGTTTTGAGTTCCATAGTCATGCAGTTTATTCCCATGGCAGAAATAATGTGAGAAGGATTTATACATATTTAGTGAATATTCTGAATCATTCTCAAATTCTTGGCATAACTATATCTGACTCATGATGAGGCATGCAAATCAATCCTTCCAACATTTGGAATTTAGTCATGGGAATGACTTATGAGAGCCTTTTCTGATTAATCTATCCAATGGTGGGATTCAAATATGTGAACAACCAGTTCTCTGTGTGGATGCCGCTTCCGGAAGTCCATTCTGTGTTTGGGCAACAAAAAATTAGCTACCGGTTCTGCCAAAGTGGTACAAACTGGCTGAATCCCACCACTGAACTTGTCACAAGTAAACCCCTGTGGCCACAATGTTTAATGTCTTTGTTTAAAAGTAACAGATCATTCATCCCAAATCAATCCTAAATACATGTGTATTCCTTGCTGCCTGCCTGCCTGCCTTCCCTCCCCCTTTCTTTCTTTCTTTCTTTCTTTCTTTCTTTCTTTCTTTCTTTCTTTCTTTCTTTCTTTCTTTCTTTCTTCTTTCTTCTGCCTATCCCAAAAAAGTAACTCTGGACAACAATTAATTAAAAACAATAATTATATAGAAACAACTATTATTAAAATATAAAAAATCACAAAACACAACAGAGAGTGAATGTTAGCCACTCTACAGGTGTGTAGTGTGCCTTTGCACACTAAACAGCAGGGATTCAATGCTGTTTACAAAAGTTATTTCAATTACGTTTAGTTGAATTTTTTTATTAACATGTAATAAATTCATTGTTAGCATTACATGTTAAGTCATAGGAAAAACTAAAAAAGGTCTCAGCTTTCATTAATATCACCTAGCGTAACCTCCGCAGTATATATTTCATGGTAAAAGTAAAGATCTGCAGACTGAAATTGTTAAATTCAATTGGAAACCAAGTATGTTATTGCCTGGTATGAGAATTTATATTTGCAAGCCTGAAGCAACAAGATCTTGTCTGCAGGGATGGTTTTTAAAACAACACATGACTAATCCATCTCCTGGGACTGCAAGCTAAACTGGAGCCAAGGATCCCTGTTAGGTCCCAAAGCATTTTTCTCATGCTTCTTGCAGACATAACAGTAATCCTAAGAAAGGGGGTGGGTGGGAATCAATGAATAACAAAGAAAAGCTTGGGAAGCAACTTGATGAACCGTTTAGTCAATTTAATAAAAAAGAAGAAATACAGCTACAAGGGAAGAAACCACCTACTGGAAAAGAAGATACAAAGGAACTTCCCTGCAGAGAAGTAAACTTTGAAAGACCCATCCAGCAGGATCTCCCTGTGTTGAAATAACGTTGGCCCCCCAGGACCGAAATCCTGCTGCT